CTGGCGCCCGAGGCGCATGTTCCATGAGCATGACCGAAGCGCGGACTATGATACCTTCCCTCTTGCCGCACGGGCGTCCAATCTGACCCATCTCCCTTTTCCAAGAGCATGTCTCCTTGCATCCCGAACGATCACACAAAGAAACAAACCAAAAAAAGCACGCAACAAAACAAATAACAACAAACACCGGCAAACAATTAAACCCGCCAGCCAGCCAGCCAGCAAGCAAGCAAGAAAGCCAGCCAGCCAGCCAGCCAACCAAGCAACCAAGCAACCGACACAATCGAACAAGCGGAAAACGGTGTATGCATGAAAGTTGAATATGCTTGAGTTAGTGGAGCACGCATAAAAGTCTCTCAGCTTGACCCGCAAGTCTCGTTGTGCCGTGTATGTCTGTGACGTGGATTGCAAAAGCTAGCGCGTGATGCTGTGGGCGCAACTGCAAAGGCAAACACATCTCATCTTTGCGTTGGTTCCTACTCCCCAGCCTCGACTTGAATTCAGGTATAAAAAATGGTGCTTCCAGCAATGGTTCGGCTAGAACGGACTGTAGAAAACAGCGCAAGCTGAACTATGTTATCTTTTGTTCCTGCTGAACTGCGCTCGCTCTCTCCCTCCCTCCCTCCCTCCCTCCCTCTCTCTCTCTCTCTCTCTCTCTCTCTCTCTCTCTCTCTCTCTCTCTCTCTCTCTCTCTCTGTCTCGTTAAAATCGGTTGTTACTTTGCTTACAAGTGCAAGTGCTGTAGTGTTCAAACAAACAGTCAACCAATGTAGTCTGCAGCTGCCAACCTTTTGACTCATGCGGAGTAGTAAGCTCAAGGCCTGCGGTAGTGAACATACATGCAACAAGAGTGCAAAGTGAAGCATGTAGTTTGACACGGCCCCTCAGTTAAAAGGTCTTTGTAGTACCTTTTCAACTGAAGTGCAAAACATGGATTGACAGTAGTGATGAAAACCATTGTTGTTCATCAATTCTACTGTATTGGCAAAAGTAGTGACCTGCGCTCAGTAGTTCACGCTGTTCAGGTTCGAGCCTGTGTAGTGTTTCTTTGCTGATGTATTTGGTAAACAAATCTGCGCTATTGTGGAGTGTGTTGATCTTAAGGATTCTGATGATGTCGCGCTTGATGAGGTCTTGTGTGTAGAGGAATTTGAGGTCGATGTGTGGTTGGCTCGTTTGCTAGTGCCTTGTCGTGTAGCAATGCTCTTGCCTGCTGTGGAGTCTGTGTGGATGCGTAGGTTTAGCTTGCTGCAAATGTTGGTTTCAAGTAGGAAGTTTCTGAGGTGTAGTCCCTCATTAACTCCTGTGCAAATGGCGTAGAGTTCAGACTCTGCTGAGCTAAGTGCTATTGTAGCTTGTGTTCTGCTGCCAAATGCAACTGTTGTTCCTAGAAAGATGATGTTGAAACCTGAAGTTGATTTCCTGGTAGTAGGGCATCCTGCCCAGTCGGCATCGACATGAACGTCGAGATCCAGGATGTTGTTGGTGTTTGCTCTGAGTGTTGTTGTTGGTTCTATGGTGAATTTGTAGTGCTTGGTGCCGTGCAAGTAGCGTAGTAGATGTTTGACTCTCTTTTGTGAAAGTTCTGTAGGTGCTGTGAGGTCTCGTGCTAGTTCTTTTGTGGAGTATGCAATGTCTGGTCGTGTGTATGCTAACCATTGAAGTTTGCCAACAATTCTTCTGTACCTTTTGTGTTGTTCGTGGTCAAGTAGTGCTTCATCTTCTATTGTTGGTTTGTAGTGTGCAATTCCTGGAGTGTTTACTGAGTTGCAGTTGTTCATTCCAGACTCCTCGATCATGTTGTCGATGTAGGAGTCCTTTAGTCCAAGATTGCAGTAGTTGCCGAAGTGGTCGATGTTTCTTCCAAGAAACTGTTGTGGTTTGCCAGGTTCGAGGTAGCCGATGTGCTTGAGTAGTACCTGCTTCTGGACGGCCTCGAAAGTGGAGTCGACTGCGGTCTTGTCTCCAAGTACTAGTAGATCGTCCACGTAGACCATGATGTAGCAGTCGCGTGTCGCATTGGTGTAGACGTTGGGTTCTGACTTTAGTCTTACAAAGCTGAGCTTTTGTAGAACTTCAGCCAAGTAGTCCTGCCATGCTTTCGGTGAACTGCGTAGTCCATACATGGCTTTCTTTAGTCGCCAGATTTTGTCCTGTTGTGGACAAAGTTCTTTAGGTGGCCAAAGGTAGACGTCACGTTGTTTACGTCGTGGTCTTTTGCGATGGGTGCGTGTAGAAATGCTGTAGAGATGTCACCTAGTCGCGCGATCCAGTTTGGTCGTGACATTTGTAGCGCGAGAAGTGTCCGGAGTGTCGTGAACATTGGTGTAGAGGCGTAGACGGAGTCTTCGTCCTCGAGCTTCTCGGTGTAGCCTTTTGCGACGATTCGGCTTCGTACTCCTGGTCCTTTCTCTTCTCTGATGACGTTGTCGTCGACGGTAGACGCATCTACTTCGTCGTAGACGTCGTGTAGTTTCATTTGGTTTGACTGTTTCATTCCTTCCAGTAGTTGTGTTTCGTCGTAACCTTCGTTGTCGAAGATTACGGGTTGGTCTTCTGAGGTGTCGTCGTTTGTGTAGGGAGTGATGGATTTTCCGTTGGGAAGTGTCACTGCGTTGATTTTCTGTCGTAGTGGTGGTGGTTCTTTGGTTGCTTGCTCCGTTGATCTGATTGTAGTGTCCTTTGAGGTCTTCTGTGCTTTAGTTGGTTGCATTACTTCTTCCGGAGTCAAATGTCGTAGTGTTTGTCGAGGTGGTGCTGGTAGTGGTGGATGTTGTCGTCCAGTTGGTGAAGTAGCCATAGGACTATCCGGTAGTGGTCGTGAACTTGACGTCGATGTGGACGGAAGTCGTGGAGGTGGTGTAGTGCGTTGTTGTTTTGTTGCGGGTTCTGCAACGATGTCGTCCGTCGCATTCGTTTGTTGTCCGAAGTCTTGCGTGGACCTTCTTTTCTCTGACGATTGTGGTTGCGTATCCAACAGTGTTGCGAACGATGGGTTGTAGGTGTTCCGTCGTGGTGCCCATGGTGTGCCGGAAACTTTGTTCAACAGTGCGAGGTCGTATTTGAAGTCCGGTTGTAGTCTTCGTACTGTTCGTACCTTTTGTACGCCTGATTCCGTTGCGACGTAGTTTTCTCTGGTTTCGGAAACTTTTCCGAGCCAGATGCATTTCTGCATCCGTAGGTCTGCTTTCGGAAGTTTCTTGTGTTGTGGTGGAAGGTAGAGTAGTGTCTCGCCAAATTCGCAGATTGCTCGCTCGTAGTTTCTTCCCCAGCGGCGTTCAAAGCTTAAGCCAGTGCCATGGTATTTGGGTGTTTCATTTGCATTTGGGTGTTTCATTTTCTTTTTGTTTGTGGTTTCTGTTGGGCTTTGTGTGTGTTTTAGGCTCTCCTCACACATATAAATGTGTGGATTATCATATAGATACATAAATATCTTTTGCTGGGACCTCAATGAGAAGCAAAGTTTCTAGATGCTATTTGCCAGCGCTTAGGTCAAACTAGTGCTTAGTTTGGATTCAAAACACACACTGGCTGCCTCAGCTTGAAACTCAACACGTTGCAGCCAGCCAAGCATTGCAGCCTGTCTGCGCAATTCCTCAAGTTTGGGGCCATACCACAAAACCAACTGAAGTCACTTGGGGACCAAATAATTTTTTAAGTGGGGTGCGCCCTGGCTCATCTTCTCCATCGTCTTCTTCGCCATCCAGCCTGGCAAGTCTGGGCACTCAGAATGCAGATTGGAATGCGAAGGGGGCTGGGTTCCACTTGCCTTGAGTTAGTCAATGTTTCTTAAGAGGAGGGGCCACATTGAGCTGTGAGCTGGACCTACCCCTGAAATCCGGAGATGCTGGTCAACTCTCCCTTTTTCATAGCGATTTGATTTTACAATGGCAAGGGGTGAACAACAGGATTTATATTGACTGGTCAGCTAGTGAGTTGTAGGAGTTCCCCACGTGGCCCTTCACTGAACAATTGTCACACAAGTTCCTCAGGCCCTGTGGGCCTTGTATCATTGAAGTTCCCAAGAAGGTCCAAAGCACCTTTGCAAACATAATCTCCTCCTAGAGTTGGGTGCGGGCATGCTGTGTCGTGTCAGCAGTGTCATGTCATTCCACATCCCCTGACGATGATGTTGGCATCAACAACGTTTCGCGAGAGTACAAAGGCATACAAAGGCTGCCTGAGTTGTCAAGCGACGCAACTGTCAAGCGACGACGCAACTGTCAAGCGACGCAACTGTCCTGTCAAGCGACGCAACTGTCAAGTCAAGCGACGCAACTGTCAAGTCAAGCGACGCAACTGTCAAGCGATGCAACTGTCAAGCGATGCAACTGTCAAGCGATGCAAGTGATTGGTTGGTTGGAGCAAACATTCGTGCGTGACAGACTGATTTAGCAAGCACTTTCGCTTTTCCATCCACGTCAACACGAGCGCCAAAAAATCTGAGGCCAGGAGAAGCCGGGAGAAGCAGAGGCATGCCTGGGCGGCTGGGCGGTGGCGGCGTTGGTTGGGGCGGATTGGGTTGGTCGGGCCCGGCCAGGAAGTATGAAAACCATAGGCCGAAACGGCCATGAAGTAAGCAAATAGCTCTAAAGCATACTTGTTAGGTCAACATCTTGTGGAAACATTACTTGTTGACGTGGGGGGTTTTGAGGGTGTGCCCATCTACTTGGTCCCACCATTTTGCGGATGTTCCCTTCACTTGTCCCAACAGTGCCTTCCATCATGCTGCCATAACTCAGCAAGCCTCAAGCCCTACCCTTGCGCCACGCGCAGGTCAAACCAGTATTTTACGTCATTACGGCTACATTGTCATCTGCCCTGTGCTGCTTAATTCCTTTCCAACATAAAAACTCCAACCTAACTATTACACGCTTCTATGGTGAGGCTACATGGCTTACGTCGCCACTCCCTGAAACCACTTGTTGTTTGAGGTGGGTCAGCACGTAAAGGGTGTTGGCATTGTGTTTTGGGGTGGCTCTTCTCAAACGATTGACGAC